AGATGAGGTTTTATGTACACTGTTAACATTATTCGGACTATTGTCCTCATATTTGTTGCCATATTTAACACAACGTTTCGGCCGGTGTACGCTCTGGCCTTCTTCATGTAGTTAGAATGTCGAACTGAACCCTTTATTTCGCTCACTGGGGTAGACTGTTCTAGTTCCACGTGCCATGTTTAATGGATGTCACTTATCAATTATATAACGTGCCATGTTTAATGGCTGTCAGTTATCAGTTATATACCTGATAACCGATATCCATTAAAATATTGCACGGGGAACTAGAACAGTCTACCCCAGTGAGCGGACTAAAGGGTTCAGTTCGACATTCCAACCACCTGAAGAAGCCCGGAGCGTACAACGGCCGAAACATTGTAATAAATATGCCGAAAAAGATGAGGATAAAAGTCCGAATAATGTAAATAGTGTACATAATACCTCATCTCAGAAATATAGACAGATACAGAAGAAGGCCGAAGCGAACAACGGCCGAAACATTGTAATAAATATGGCGACAAAGATGAGGACAATAGTCCGAATAATGTAAATAGTGTACATAATACCTCATCTCAGAAATATAGACAGATACTGAAGAAGGCCGAAACGAACAACAGCCGAAACGTTGTAATAAATATGGCGACAAAGTTGAGTACAATAGTCCGAATAATGTAAATAGTGTACGTAATACATCATCTCAGAAATATAGACAGATACTGAAGAAGACCGGAGCATACAACGGCCGAAACGTTGTAATAAATATGGCGACAAAGATGAAGACAATACTTCGAATAATGTAAATAGTGTACATAATACTTCATCTCAGAAACACAGACAGATACTGAAAGGCTGAAACGTTGTAATAAATATGGCCACAAAGATGAAGACAATAGTCCGAATAATGTAAATAGTGTACGTAATACCTCATCTCAGAAATATAGACAGATACTGAAGAAGACCGGAGCATACAACAGCCGAAACGTTGTAATAAATATGGCGACAAAGATGAGGACAATAGTCTGAATAATGTAAAAAGTGAACAGTACTCTCGAAGTATCTTCTTCATTTCTGATGCGATTGTCAATCATTCTCTGAAGGCCATGGCGCTTTGAAGAAAATTAAATTTATTTAGAAACCGCAAAAAATTTTCCTTTCAACTCCCACTTGTTCTCCTTCGATCACTGAAATTAAACAGCCCGCAGAACTTAGATGGAGGATCTCTTGTGAACATCGAGTACTGTCGGAAACATTTTACAATCTGATATATGTTCGGCTTTAAATAAGCCACAAAGCGTCTTTAAGCCGCTAACAACATCAATCAATTACTCTCATCAAGATAGATGAAACAGTCTGAATTGTAATCTAACCGAATGTTAGGATAAAGATCAAATAGGAAACGTTTATGAATCTAATATGATTTGGAGGATAAATATAACTGAATCAAAAAGCGAAACATTTTAGATTTATAAGATTACTATTCGTCCTTGCTTTTGATATTGCTGCTATATCTGGTCTAGTGCTCTTGTTATATATGCAGAGACTCTTGAAAAAAAATCCAAAGAAGAATCTTCAATGCTATCGGTCCTGACCTGACATCTCGGCGTCAGTCCCTTCTTTAACGCCGTAATGTACCTTCCTTGTGTCTTTTCTATAAATACTTTCATGGTAATAGTTTTGATAAACTTTACTTTATAGTACCTAGAATTTATAAATTTAAACGTATTACTAGGTTGGCGGCAAGATCTTAAGAATTTACGATTGAATTGTCTAAATGTAACTTTAAGTTCTATGCCATCAGTTTCTTTTAATCGTAGTTCTCCCTCTTCCGGTTTCTGGCTTCCGGTCAACTTTGAGCTTCAAAAATTCAAATGCAATCTCAGTCGTTATCTTATTTCTTTTTATTGTCCTCTTTCCTTAATAGTTGGTTCTCTCATATTCTTTCACACTTCATAGCCTCCTAGTGGCTTTATTGCCTTTTTGGGGTGAAATGATTGGAAAAAAAAAGATTTATAAATGTTCCATATTTGTTCTCTAATTTAATTGTTAATCGAGTATTTTTTTTTAACTTATTCAACGGGTTTCCATTTTAATTTTTCGTCGATAATAACCCCAATACAAATGTGATCCTGGTAGCATATTGTATGTTTATATTGCTACCAATAACTTGTTCTATAGACATTTGAAAAATCCCATAATTGATTTTAATTCCATACTGCAATCTTTTTGTTGAAACTTGACTAATGCATGGAATAATAATACAACACAAAATGTACTTAGAAGAAAATGTATTGAAACAAGAAAGTGTACACAATATTTACATATAGTCTTTTGTATATTCTTAGTAAGACCGTTCCTGGAGAATGTGTTGACTGAGTCGCAGTCGGGCAGAGTCTCTGGTTGAATCTCTTGATTCCTCCCTCTCTTCCCGGTACCAACCATATTTATATGGTCGTTACTCCACTATGCAAATTAGGTGGATCCTACCACAACACTTTTCCCTCTTAATTAGCCTATTGGCGTCTTTATTTCTGTAACTTCTTTAAAGTCTTCATCATTATCTATTTGATAGTATTCCGAACTTAAATCAATTTTGGAGAATGTTTTCATAACCGCAAGAAAGATCAAAGCCCATTCTACATTGTGAGTAGGTTATGAGTCCGTACATATTTTGTGGTTAACACCTATTATTATTTGTAGTCGTTATCTTCTGTCTTCTTAATTCTTATTCTTTAATTGTCCTCTCCTTAATAAGTTGTAGTTTCTCTCATATTCTCTAACACTCAATAGCCGCTGGCATCTTAGTGGCTTTATTGCCTTTCTTGGGGTGAAGTGATTAAAACAATAGATTTATTCGATATTTGTTCTCTATCCTATCATCAAATAGTTTACAGAAGTTCAGAGATTCTTGTATCTAACGAATTTTTCTATCTCTTAATACTTTCCTTAGTTTCTGGAAGTCTATATTAAGTGCTTCTTTTCCCATTACGATTTCTGAGTCCTGTTTTCCGTCATCTGTTACTACACATTTCTGTACTTGCTAGATTTTGACATATAAGAAATAGCTTAAATCTTGAACTGTCTCTTTTGCAGACAAACATAAATTGTCTCCTTACATTTAATACTTAGTCTTTTCTTTTATTCTTCCGATATGTTTTAATAGGTATCACCCCAAGCAAGGCACAAAGGATTACACGGAGTGGACGAGTTAGGAACAGAAACATTAATAATGAGGAGAAAGAGAAAAGAGTAATCAGGAAGACAGTATATATTGAGTGACATTGTATTTTTGATATCTTTCTGTCGTTTTCAATGAAAAATATTCCATTCTTACATTTAATCGTCATTTGTTCTTGTTGTCTGCTTGATTCTGTCATCCATGAAGCATCTCATATAATGAACTGTCTCCTATGTTGACAAGCAAGAATTATGTCTTCTTATAGATAATAGTCATTTCTAATGAAGATATAGCTTCAGACTATCTGCCTAAAACATCGGTTGGGATTTTTCCGTACGCTTCAAGGGTGTTGCTTTCTGGGAATCTGGATAAATATACTTGCACAAAACTAAACCCAGCGTTGAAGCTATGATTTTTACTATCGACAAACGCATTTTTTTTTATGTTAAAAACGCAATGTAGTTTACTCACCTAAATTAGCCAAGTAACAGATAATGTTTCTAATTAGGTATCGCCACGAATTTGGTATACGTAAAGTTTAAAATGATTTTTAAAAAATAAAAAACATTACTGAAGCTTTCAGTTTAGCTTTAAATGAAAGCCAAAGGATTAAATTTATTATATCCGGTAGGGAAAATATTTTGTTGTGTTTCAAACAGAAATTACATTGATTGGAATAGACTTCAGTAAAATCATTTTTTCAGACATTTATAAACAAAACGTATTTTGCGTTATAGAAAACTTGCAAAAATAAAATATATATTTCTGAAACGTTATTTGAGAAAAATTAGCAAATTCAAAGTTAATTTAATCTGATTTGAAATAAATATTACTTACAAAGAGTATAAAATATATGCAATCATTTCCTCACCACGGAGGTTTTGTTTTTCTGTGGTGTTAATCGATTTAAGCCTAGGACACTAACCATGATTATATAGTACCCAGGGCAAATTGTCCTATTTTTAATTACAATTTTCAATACCTGATTTCCTTACCTAAATAATGTTTTTTCAGTTTCTACTAATGTGTTGTTGTAAAGCAACGACTCAACTGAAAGTAGCAGATAGGAAACGCGAGGAGGGTAAACGACAAAATAGTGTCTCACGTCCAACCTTCTCACAAGCAAAAAAAAAAAAACCTAGCGCCCAGAAACAAAAACGTGCCTGCTTTATACAGCCGAGGACCGACCAAAATTTGCATGCGAATGACGAGACAACGAGATTTTGCGTTAAATGTCCGAGACCGCCTGGCATAAAACATGGCCGCCGCCATTTTGTCCCTTTTTCTTTTTAACCGTTGAGCAGCCGGAGTTTGCACGACGCACAGATTCGTGGGCGTTTCCGAGGTAGGCCATTTTCACAATTTTCCCCACATAATGTTAACTCAAAGTACAAAGTTTCAAGTGCCTGCATGTAAACTATTTCAAATAAAGATTTATATTTTTTTGATATTTTCAAAATTGGGTATGATATACCCATGGTTAATAGTGGTGTAACTTTAATTGATGGTTAGTTTTCTCCGGTTAACGACCACAGATTGACCGCCGAAAATGATCATAATAACAATTTTCATTAGTTTTTTTGTTTTGTTTTTTTTTTTTTTTTATAAAGAGGGAAAAGCCTTATTTTTGAGTGTAAGAATATGTTTTCAAATAATAATGTTTTTTTTTAATATATCTCTTACTAATTAACATATAGTTTGGAGGAGAAGAGGTGGGTTCCTGCCTTTCCTGAGTGTATTTGCGTCAAACCCAATTGGAATTAGAACCCGGTTCTCCGATTAACAATTGCGAGCTATTATCCATTACACCATCCGCTCATCCAAGTTTACAGCACCTGATAATCACAAGCAGTCACCCATCTACGTACTGAACAGATTCAACAATGCATAACTACGATGATCATACGGGAATCGGTGTTTCAAAGTGATATGGCCGTAAAACTCTGATTCTTGTATTTATGTCGTCAGAGATAACTGTGATAAATTGGATTGAGAATGAAACTGACTTTTCTTCAAATGAGATACAGAGAAGGAAGTAAGCTAAAAAATAATAATAAATAGCTCAAGGAAGACCGAAACACAATGCCATTTTTCTTGTTAGCACTCTCTTCCGTATCTGCATTCGTTATATGAATTTTTGTCTGTTTCTTTTATTTAGCTTTCATCTTACTTTTCTCGACTGAATTTCGTGATAACCAAATTTCTCATAATCTACGTTTCGCATCAAACTTCTTTGTTGAGAGACGCTTATGTCTGTTTGAGTCTCTGCCTGTTAAATGGCGACTTTTCTTTCGATTTCATTAGGTTATCCTTCCAGCGTTTCCTTTTGATTTTATGCTTAAAATATTTACGGCGGAAGCAGAAAATTCGAAAATATTTGCGCTTTCAAGGAAGAGATTGCTCCTGCAGAATCCTATTTACAAAACCGTGTTTTCAGATTTGTCTTCTAAAATTCGTCACGGAAAAGAAGAGCGCATGCGTGAAATAAAAAAAAGAAGTAAGACTAAATTAGGCATCTTTGTATTTACACAGGATGTCACAGAACATTTTAGCACACGTAATGAACCCGAAATGCGATTTGCAGGTCGGGAACACTAGAATCAAGCAGACGCGGAAGATTAAATATCTGGGAAGCGTCTTGACAGAGGAGGGTAAGTGCGACACTGAGATCCGTAGAGATATTGGGATGGCCAAAGACACATTCCAAAAACTAGGCAGGGTATTGTGAGACAGGAGGATTTCTTTGGTGACAAAGAAAAGAATACGGACCTGTTACGTGATATCTGTCCTGCTTTACGGTAGCGTATGTTGGACGATTTCCTCAAAGATGAAGAAGAGACTCGAGACGACGGAGATGTGATTCTACAGAAGAGTGCTGGAGCGAGTGTGTGAGCAACGGTGAGGTCTTAGAGAGGATGCAAACAAGGAGGAGAATTATACTTAACACCAGGAAGAGGCAGCTGAAGTTTCTGGTACACATAATGAAGAAGGAAGACCTGGAGTATCCGATACTCACGGGTCGTATAGAGGTAAAGTGAGACAAGGGAAAACAACACATGATATACCTAGCGTCCTTAAGGAACTGGATGACAGAACGTGATCTAGGGAGGTGGCAGAGGGAAGGAACTTATTGGGAGCTGCAAAGGACAGAAGGAGGTGGAAAGCCATGATTGCCTACGTCCTGAAAGGACATGGCGCTTAAAAAAATGTATTGCTGATTTTGGATGACTGACAGTGGATATCTGAGATGGTGTAAAATGATACCGTGGATAAATTGGGTGGTACTAATGTTTTCCTACTTGATAAGATTCTTGTCTTAAAGGACGGTAACTGCGACACTGAGATCCGTAGACGTATTGGGATTGACCAAGGACGCATTCCAAAAGTTGGGCAGAGTGTTGGTAGACAGGAAAATTTCTTTGGGAAATAAAAAAAATATTCAGCTGTTACGTGACATGTGTCCTCCTTTACGGCAGCGAATGTTGGACGATTTCCCCAGAGATGAAGAAGAGACTCGAGGCGACGGAGATGTGGTTCTACAGAAGGATGCTGGGGATATCATGGACTGAACATATTGAGATTGCCAAGAACACATTCCAAAAGCTGTGTGGAGTATTGCGAAACAAGAAGTTTTCTTTGTTAACAAAGAAAAAAAAACTGAGCTGTTAGGTGACATCTCTCCTTCTTTACGGCAACGAATGTTGGACGATTTCCTCAAAGATGAAAAAGAGACTCGAGGCGACAGAGATGTGGTTCTACAGAAGGATGATAAGGATATCATGAACCGTACACATTCCAAAAGCTGGGCAGAATATTGCGAGACAGGAGGATTTCTTTGGTAACAACCTAAAGAATACTGAGATGTTACTTGACATCAGTCCTGCTTTACGGCAGCGAATGTTGGACGGTCTCCTCAAAGATGAAGAAGAGACACGAGGCGACAGAGATGTTGTTCTACAGAAGGATTCTAAGGATATCATGGACCAACCGTATGAGCAATGATGAGGTCTTAGAGAGGATGCAAACAAGGATGAGGCTTATACTTATTACCAAGAAGAGGCAGCTGTAGTTTCTGGGACATATAACGAGGAAGGAGGGCCTGGAGAATCTGATACTCACGGGTCGAATAGAGGGAAAGAGAGACGAGGGAAAGCAGCGCGAGACATACCTGACAAGCTTGAGCAGGTGGATGAGAGAACTTGGTCTACGGGAGTTGGTACAGGGAAAGATCTTGTTGAGAGCTTCAAGGAATAGAGGGGGGTGGAGATCCATGATTGCCTACGTCCTGAAAGGACATGGCACATAAAAAGAAAAGAAATATGGACCAAAGAGAAACACTGCCCAGTTACCTGACTTATACTACGCTAGCGTCGGCCTCAAGCAACGCTTCTTTTGAGTGAAATGAAATACGTCTTTGATGTTTTACAGTATTCATCCAATACAAGTCATAAGAGCCACTCAAGATACAGATTTACTGAGTAAGCTTGTTGTAAGACAGGGAGAACGAGGAATTGCATATTATGAAGATATGTGAATTTCTTTAATACCGTGAACGATGGAAAAGTGATGTGTCTTGGGCAAAATAGCCTGACGTAGCCCAGCCCCCCAGTTTTGAATTCAGAGTTTTTCCTTCTCCTAGACCGGTTGCCATCCAGTGTTATAGAACAAAGTCTGTACTGCTATTTACCCATAGCTGGTGGGAGTAGATTTTTCATACAATTTCCGAAGAGTATTAGCTGGTAAGTGAATGCAATTCCGATTGGAATTCGAACTCGGCTCTCTGATTCCGAGCCGCTATACACCACCCCAACTTGCCTCCTATAATATATGCGAGATAGACATCGATTAATAATGGATTTGAAGACGTTAAGAGTGGTCAGATAAGTATCCTCACGGGAGTGGGTTCCGCGAATTAAGAGTATTGAAGAAAAAGTTAAGTAGTCCTTAGTTTTTATCAAAGGAACCCGAAGGGAAAAAGCGATCAGTTACTTCCGTGGAAATGGCGTGGCAGGTCCTAGCTGTGAAAATCTGAGCTGGCGGGTCTAACCCGTTAAAACATTTGCAGTAGTAATTGAGATAGAGTAGTGAGAGGCTAGAAACATTCCATCAGCGAGATAATGGTTTCAGGATAAAAAATAATTCATTATCTTACAAGGCTACATAAACGCTATTGAAATCTGTCAAACCTGCATAGTGGAGATTAGGCAAGAATAGCCGTAAACTGTCGCTGAAACACAAACAAGAGGAGGTGAACATATACAGCACTTTGATACCGCATTTAATCACCTAACAAAGCGGGTGAGATAAGAAAAAAGCTCGATTAAATGTGAGGTACCCATACGCGTACGTAAGTAAGGTCGAAGGACAAGAATCACCCAATATGACATAAATCGATAATGCCTAATTAAACACGTAACAATACGAAAATTTAAAGCGTTGAAAGGTGAGTATATATTTTCAAAGAAAGTGCTTATTAGGAAAAAGAGATAGGGAAAAAAAAACATTCATCAATACTGGAAACTGCGATAACAAATATTGGTCTTTAGAAACCTATTTTTCCAGAAAATAGTTGTAATTAAAAGATCTCTAAATTTAAATCGATATGAGCACTCGCTTCTGGGTCAAAGAATGCCGAATATTTCTTTAAAAGGAAACGGCCTAGAGTACCATTCCCATTACAGTTGAATTCCTTCGGCAGGAGTGAAAAGAATTTCACCAATTCATAGAATATTTCTTCATTTTTTAAATATATGCATATTTGGGTACCGAGCTATTTACAAAATTTAGTCGCTGTACGCTTTCGGCTTAGCAATATTATCTATCTATCTATCTATCTCTTTCATTGTGTCTCTTTCATTCTATCTATCTATCTATTTATCTATCTATCTATCAACTTAACAGATGAAGAAAAGATATATGCATATTTGGTTATCTAGCTATTTAGCTTATTTAGTCTGCGCACGCTTTCTCCTTAGCAACATATCTATCTATCTATCTATCTATCTATCTATCTATCTATCTATGTTTACTCTCATCTATCTATCTATCTATCTATCTATCTATCTATCTATCTATCTATCTATCTAAAAATGTCTATCCATATTTACTCTCATCTATCTATCTATCTATCTATCTATCTATCTATCTATCTATCTAGTTAACAGATGAAGAAAATGTATATGCATATTTGGTTACCTAGCTATTTGGCTAATCTAGTCTCCGTACGCGTTCTCCTTAGCAACATATCTATCTATCTATCTATCTATCTATCTATCTATCTATCTATCTATCTTCACAGTCTGTTCAAATTGACATCTATCTATCTATCTATCTATCTATCTATCTATCTATCTAGTTAACAGATGAAGAAAAGATATATGCATGTTTGGTTACCTAGCTATTTAGCTAATTTAGTCTCCGCACGCTTTCTCCTTAGCAAGCTATCTATCTATCTATCTATCTATCTATCTATCTATCTATCTATCTTAGTCTATACACATTTATCTATCTATCTATCTATCTATCTATCTATCTATCTATCTATCTATCTTAGTCTATACACATCTATCTATCTATCTATCTATCTATCTATCTATCTATCTATCTATCTAAGAGATGATGAACAGATAGATGTATATTTCGTTGCCTAGCTATTTAGATAATTTGGTTTCTGTACAAAAAAAATAAAAGACTGAAACTGATAGGTAAGTAGCTAAAAAAAAATGTGTGTGGGTGAGAGAGTAAGAGAGTACGTGTGTGTTTATCTATACATACAGAGAAAGAAAAAGAGGTAGATCTCCAGCTAAGAAGTCAGCGTAACGAGACTGACTTATCTAAATTGCAGGGTAACTAAAATCATACACATTTTATCTGTCTATCTATAGATGTAAAGTTGCACACTCAATTAATGCGCACATACTGAATACAATCACCAAACT